CTCATTTACAATCTTCGGATAAAGGCAGGAGGAGTAAAATCCAAGTCCCCAGCCGATAGGCCAGGCAAGTTAGATGCCCCTGAAAGTGTAGTATCTTACTCTTCTTTGTCCCTTTCTAGGAGCTGTTAGGAAAGAATATTGTGGAATTCTGTCATCCCGAAGACCAACAGCTGCTAAGAGACAGCTTCCAACAGGTAAATATTTTCCCTGGTTTGGATCAAAAGAAACATTTTTATCTGTTTATTACATTCATTCCACAAATATTTATTGAGCACCGATGAATTGAATACTATGCTAGGTGCTACAGTGTTACATTCTTTAGCGCTTAACCTGTATCTCTAAGGAACAGAAGAGGACCAGGACATGGAAACTGTGGATAATGTCCAAGGCCTTTCTCCTCGGCTCTGGAATCATTTCGAGACTACTCACTGTCTTGTATCCAACAGCTGTGTCCAGGGTGCTGTCTTTACGGTCTTTTACTAGGCTTTAGCTGAGCTGTGGATGGTAGGAGGAAAAATCACTTCAGGGAGTTCTTTCAGAGACAGTCAAGGGTGAACTCTTAATTGTAATTTTCAGGCCCTAGCTCCTAAGTGTATCTGGTCAGGTTAGTTTCAGGATAGACCTGGCTTTACTAGTAGTGGCTCTTAGTTTATATTAGATAAGTTATTATCATAGTTAAGCCTTAATAGTGTCCTTACTGATACAATGGGTGCAGTAATAGTACTTAATTTAGAGGGTGGTTGGGAGGATTATGCAAATAAAATAATGTGCATAAAGCATATGGCTCAGTGCTTGACACGTAGTAATTACGAAGTAAATGTAAGTTGCTAATATTACTGTTGTTTTCTTGTTAGGGTGAGAGAGTCAGAAGATTATTCTCTATTCCATGAGACTAGAAACTAAAAGAATCTAAAGTTATTTTCTTTTTTAAAAAAAAAGCAAAACAAGACTAAAATGAACTTAGGTTTTATTTATAGAAGTCTCCATGTGTGTTGTGAAAACAGAAATTCTCTGGGTTTTTTTGGGGGAAGGGTAGGATTGAAGAGCCACATGTAAGCTATATTAAATGTCATTAAACCTATAAATTTCTAGTATAGATTTGTAAAGCTTGCTTAGCTTATCCTTAAAGGACTTCCCAGGGAATGTGGGAAAACAGTCTTCTCTCTACTGGAAGTAATTACTGTTCTTGTTTGGCTTTTACTGGAGAGGTCAGATAGTTTGGGACTCTGGGAAGAAACCTGCTAAGTATACCTCCTCCGTATTTAGTCACTTCATTTTCACTTCTCATGTTGTTTTTTTAGTAACTTTGAAAGAGGCTGGTGCTTCAAGGACAGTGACATAAGAGTCTTAGGGTTGTAGAAATGGGATTTTTTTTTTTTTAATTAATTTTCTAAAGGAGATTTTCTGTGCATTTCACTGATGGCATGAACAATTTTTCAGGTGGTGAAGTTAAAAGGCCAGGTGCTGTCTGTCATGTTCCGGTTCCGATCTAAGAACCGAGAATGGCTCTGGATGAGAACCAGCTCCTTTACTTTCCAGAACCCTTACTCAGATGAAATCGAGTACATCATCTGTACCAACACCACCGTGAAGTATGTACCACAAAGGCCCTTTCTAGTGCTGGGGTTTCTCACGGGCCAAGTCTGATTTGCCTTGTCAAGCTATTGCCTTCTCTTCCTCCTTTCCCATATTAAACTCCACTAGGTTCCTCATCTTCCAACTTCGTACAGGATTTGGGTAGTCGATCCAGGTAGAATAAGATTTTAACAAACAATACTTTAGAGACTAAGTTCTGAGATGCTTACATAGCTTCTATTTCAGTTTTATTTTTACCAGCCCTTTTTAGAAAGGATTTTATCATATATACCACTTTTTATTGCTCTAGTCTGGCAGGATTTTCCTTTAGAGCAGGGGTCTGCCAACTCTTCTTCTAAAGGGCCAGACCGTAAGTATTTCAGGCTTTGTGGGCCATATGATCTCAATCGCAGCTACTCA